CCAGGGAGGCGCCTCGGCCGTCACGCTCTCTCTCTCTCTCTCTCTCTCTCTTTCTCTCTCTCTCTCACTCTCTTTCTCTCCCTCTCTCTCTCTCTCTCTCCCTCTCTCTCTATACATATATCTCTCTCCCTCTCTCTCTCTCTCTTTCTCTTTCTCTCTCTCTCTCTCTCTCTCTCTGGTTGTTTTTTTTTTGTTTTGTTTGTTGTTCTCTCTCTCTCTCTCTCTCTAGATTCTTCCTTGGAGCGAAGAAGGTCTGGATCCACTACAGTTGCGAAGTCGAGCTCGCAGCGGTCGCCAGCGGGCGCACTGGGGAAGTGCAACCACAACCCCTTGGCGCGGGTCTGCGGCGGCGCGACGAAATAGAGACCGAGGGCAGTTCCCACCTGATTGCGAGGACGAGGGCAACAATATTGCTGGTTTTGCTGTCCACTGCCGCAAAGCCCCCCAACTCCGGCGGCGGCGCCAAGATCTAGAAGCCGCATGTGACAGCCTATCCGTCGCCAAACTGATCTGCGGCGCAGGAATAGGTGGCGTGCTGCCGCGGCACTGCGCAGGAGTCTTCGGAGGCGCATACCCCTTCGGCGGGCGCGTCCGAACTTTTGCAGTTATTCGCCCGCCCGCCGTCGACCACCTTGAGAACGGCATTGCGAACGGCGTCAAGCCCGTTGATGTCGATGACGCACGAGTATAACTTCCAACCAGACTTCCTCTTCATGCGCACGCAACCCGCTGGCAAGCCGAACGGAAGGGTGAGCACGGTCTGCTCCGACAGGGGGTCAACGGTCATTCCTGCCAGATCGAAAAGGTCGCACAGCGCCCCTTGAGCGTCGGGCAACGAGCCATGCAATCGCGCTGCGACCGAGGTAGATCTTGGCGGGCTCGGGGAAGTGCGCACGGCGCATCGCCGCCGCGAGCCAAGCCTGGGAATTGGTGTACCTGCCCTTATTGCTGCGCGGGGAGTCGTCGGGCATCAGTCCCCGATCCAACAGATTCGGGCGCGGCGGCGTGCACGACAACAGCAGCTTGCTTGTACTCGCGGGAGCTGTCGCGCTTCACGATCCCCCCATCAGCGTAGCCTCAGCGTCTGGTGTCCAGCGTGTGGCCGTGCCTGGCCCTATCACGATCGGCTTCTGGTGGACTTGAATGACCCGACAACGTCAAGACATTGAAAAAATCTGCCCTCAATATTACACGTCGGGTAAGCCTCCGGGGCCCCCATCAAAGATGCGATGCCGCGTGAACATAAACAATGAAACTTCTTCCAGACATCGACCAAGCTCGTTTTCCGCGTCCTGGAAGCGCCGCTGGCATAGCAAGCGGCCGCCTCGTTCTTGCGGCCCCCCTGGGGTCGATCACGGTCACGCCGCCACTCCTTTCCAGCAGCGCATCCAGACATCGCGTTATCCATGCGTCTGGCCTTGGCGCAGCGCGATCAACGTCGGGGCCAGGAACCACTTCTGGGAAAAAAGGAGCGGTCATATGGCAGGGTGCACATTGGCACGCCCACCCACGGCGGCCTTATAGCAGCGCCCTGTTCCTGGGTTCTTGGCCCAGTCTGCAAACCTCTGCGAGCCCACGCCGACGCACTGGAGCGCGGGCAGCGCGGGGGATTCCTGGAGGCTGATCGGCAGCAGCGCGCCGAATGGGATGTCCGCTAACGCCCGCCCCCCCCCCCCCCCCCCCCCCCCCCTTCGTGTAGGAGGCGCGGTCCAATAGAGCTCATCCCGTTCGGCTTCCCACGTCTGCATCGTCTGCGCGGCCATCTGCTCCGCCTCTCGAGCGTTGGCGACGACTTCCTCCTCGGCGCGCACCTCGACGAGCTTCGCTTTTTCACGACCACTCCCGACTTCGGCAGCGGAGCGAGCATAGCTAGCACTCGCCTCTTGGGCAACGACCATCGCCTGGAACTGCGCACGAAGCACTACATCCCGCGCTCGCTCCTCAGCAGCAGCGCGGTCTGACTCAGACTGCGTCACGTCGGCGGCGGCCTCTGCCGCTAAACGCGCATTCCGATCCTCTGCTGCCTGGAGCTCTTGGGCCGCATCCGACATAGTCGCGTGCTGAGCCTCGCCAAGTCCCCGGAAGACGCGCATGGCTTCCTCTGCGAAGTGTTGCCCTTGAAGTTGCGCGTGGCTCTCGAACGCAGCAGCGGCCTCCAGCCCGTGGGCAAACTCGCGCATCTCGATGGTCGCCGCCAAGGCCTGCCCGGCCGCAACCGCCAGTTGGCGCTCCTCAAGAAGCTCCATGGCATTGGCCTCTCGATCCCGCTCCAACTGGAGAGCGGCGGCTGCCCGTTGCTGGAGCTCGGATTGCCGGAATTGCTCGCGCATCTCGGCTATGTCTCGCTCTCCGGCCTCCGTGATCTCGAGCCTCTTCTTCGCCTCGGCCTCGCGCCGCTCGCTCGCGTGCAAAACCGCACGGCTGTGCGATGCTGGGGCATGGCACAGAAGGCACAGGAAGTTCAGGTTGCAGATGCCATGGCTTACCGGCATCTTAAATTGGCCTAGCGTCCCAGGGAACGAGTTTCAGGGAACGCCACACCCCGCGGCCCGAAATGAACATACTTCGCATTGATGCGCATGCTGAACGCACTCGACCAGCCTGACAGATTCGATCGGTCGGACGCTTCCGATCGCGGTCGTGGCGTCCTCGGCCTGCCCGCCCGAACTCATATTGCGGGGAGAGCGGGCGCGTGGGTCAGGAGTCGCGGGCATTGGGATCGGAGGCCGAAGCTCGGTCGGGCTGGACAGGAGGAGGAGGAGGAGGCCCGGGCGCATAGCTGCCGGGATACCCGCCCAGAGCGTGCATAGGCCCGTTCTCGGGTATGCCGTCACACCTTTTCCGCTTGATGAGCGGTGATGTCATTGAGAGACTGACCGTCTCGCGCCTCTGCCTGGTTGCGGTTCTGGCTGGGCTGTCCGCAAGCTCAGGGTAATGACAAAATCAACTCCTCCTCCTCCTCCTCCTCCTCCTCCTCCTCCTCCTCCTCCTCCTCTTGCTCGATGTCCTCCCCCCCCCATCCATCACTCCCTCCCCTGTTGATCTCCCCCTCCTCCTGCCCCCCTCGTCCTCCCATTACGCCTCCCCCATCCCTCCTCTTCCTCCCCCTCCTCCGCCTCCTCCCCCACCTCCTCCTCCTCCTTGCACCAGTTGCTCTTCGGAGGAGCTGCTCCTTCCCGTCTTCCACACCTTCTCCTCCTCCTCCTCCTCCACCTCCTCCTCCTCCTCCTCCTCCTCCTTCTCCTCCTCCTCGTCCTCGTCCTGCACTTCCCTCCCTCTTCCACCTCCTCCTGCTCCGTCGTCCTATTTCCTCCCTCCTCCTCCTCCTCCTCCTCCTCCTCCTCTTCCTCCTCCTCCTCAACCTCCTCCTCCTCATCATCATCCTCCTGCTCCCCTCCTCCGCCTCCTCCTCCTCCTCCTCCTCCTGCCTCCTCCCTCCTCCTCCCCCCTCCTCCCCTCCTCCTCCTCCTCCTCCTCCTCCTCCTCCTCCTCTCCTCCTCCTTCTCCTCCCCCTCCTCCCCTCCTCCCCGTCCTCCCTCCTCCTCCTCCTCCTGCTCCTCCTCCTCTCCTCCTCCTCCTCCTCCTGCTCCTCCTCCTCCTCCTCTTCCTCCTCCTCCTCGTCCTTCTCCTCCTCTTCCTCCTCCTCATCATCATCCTCCTCCTCTCTCCCTCCTCCCTCCTCCATCCTCCCGCCTCCCTCCTCCCTCCTCCATCCTCCTTCCTCACTCCTCCCTCCTCGACCTCCACTTTCTCCCTCCTCGACTTCAACCTCCTCCTCTTCCTCCTTCTCTTCCTCCTCCTCCTCATTATCCGCCTCTTGCCGTCTTCTTCCTGTTACATGTTACATGTTACCTCGGGCCCAACGGCGTTCGACACCTCGTCCTCCTCCCGGAGAGCCTCCACCTCCCTACCTCCCTTCCCCCCCCCGAAGAAATCGGGGTACGAAGATGAGAAGCAGCAGCAGAAGCAGGAGGAGGCGTGGGGGGGAGCAGGGCAAAGCGGGTGGGAAGAGACGCCCGGATCCGAGGAGCTTTTGCCGGCCAACATCCCAGGCATCGACGCCGGAGGCGCCACCGAGGCCGCAATGAAGATGAAGGCAAGGCCAGGACGAAATCGGACCGCCGAGAAAAATATGAATAGCTCTGAGATCCTGCGGATTTGGAAGATGCATGGGCGCCGCTGTCGTTCAAGAGCGCTCTGAACGCTCTGGGAGCGTTCGTTCCGCAACGGTCTGGGAAGATGTGTCCCTGTCCTGGGCCCGTCCGACTTTCGCCGCCGCCGTCCCCAGGCCCCCGCCGTCGAGCTTTCATGACGTGACCCCCAGAGGCCAACCCCTTCCCAAAACCGGTTTTGTATCCTGAAAGGACCCCTTCCCAGAAACGGTTCGCAACAACCCCAATTCCAACGAATCCTTCCAAAACGCGAACACGTCTGAGTTGCAGTACTCAGCACGCTCGGGAACGAATTGCGGTCGGGAGCGTTTGGATAGAGTGTCGGGGCGGTGGCCCCAGTGACACGCTGTGCCGTGCAACGCTCCGAGGGGCGGAAGGCTCGAAACGGCTCGGGACTTTGACGCTCCTGGACCGGGGAGTGGACAGCGTGTCGCGCCGGAACGTGGTGGGCCAGAACCGACGGAGCGACACGCTATCCCAAAAGTCCCGACCGATCCCCATGGTGACCATCGGGCCCTACCTCGGCTCTCTGGCGGGCCGTTCGGGGCGATCCGGGCAGCACCAGAACGCTCTCGGCGAGGCGCAGCCGATGCGGAGCATCCCGGCGCTGGAAGCCGGCGAGAACCGAGCACCAACGTTGACAACGTCCTCGAACCTCGAACCTCGGCCCTGGGCCCGCCTGATCGTCGCCTCCGCCGTCCTCGAACCTCGAACCTCGTCCTCGATCCTCGAACCTCGAACCTCGAACCTCGGTCCTGGGTCCGCCTGATCGTCGCCGCCGCCGTCGCCGACGCCGCCGCCCCCGAAGTCGCAGGGCCGTGGGCCGGCCTGTTGCGGAACGTGCGGGCGTTGTCGCCGCCCGACACCGAGACAAGGCTGCCCTGAGCGCGGAGGCTATGGCGGGCGGGGTCCAGTTCTGGCGGGCGAGCGAAGGCTGCTGGCGGAGAGACAGTGCGGGTCCAACTTATTGCTCCTCCTCCTCCTGCCCCTCCTCCTCCTCCTCCTCCTCCTCCTTCTCCTCCTCCTCCTCCTCCTCCTACTCCTCGTCCTCCTCCTCCTGCACCTCCTCATCCTCCCCCTCCTCCTCCTCCTCCTCCTCCTCCTCCTCCTCCTCCTCCTCCTCCTCCTCTTCCTCTTCCTCCTCCCCCTCCTCCCCTCCTCCCCGTCCTCCTCCTCCTCCTCCTCCTCCTCCTCCTCATCCTGCTCGCATGCTGACAGCTGGGCCAAACAGGAAGGTCCAAATTCACGGCCGCCCTGCTGAACGATTTTGAACGGGAAGCCAAATTGTTGGCCGCTTTCTTGATCTGTGTAGGTGAAGCCCTCACCTTGCGGCCCCAGTTGGCAACCCCACGAGCCAGCAAACACAAGTTTAAGAGGGGTCCGAGGCCCAGGGCTAATATCCAAAGAGGTGTTCAGGCTGCTTGAGCATTGGTGACGCAGCCTGTCGACGGGGAGGCAGGTGGTAGAGGCGGGACCTCCCTCGTGCGAGTGCGCGGCCGCCTGCCACTGCTCAACATATTTATCTCCTCCTCTTGCCTCCTCTTCCTCCTCCTCCTCCTCCTCCTCCCCATCATAAGCTTCGGTATCGTCATCACCATCATCAGCATCATCATCAGCATCTTCATCATCATCATCATCATCATCATCATCATCAGCATCATCATCATCACCATCACCATCATCAGCATCGTCCTCATCAGCAGCATCGTCATCAACAACCACAGCATCGTCATAAGTATGAGCATCAGCATCATCATCAACAACATTATCATACTCATCAGCAACATAAGCATCATCAGCATCAGCGTCATCATAGTCGTCATCACCATCATCATCTTCAGCATCGTCGACGTCAGCGGTATCATCATAATCATCAGTAGCATCATCAGCATCATCAGCATATTCATCGTCATCAGCATCAGCATCATCATCACCATCACCATCACCATCACCATCATCATCATCATCATAATCATAATCATCAACAGCATCATCCTCACCATCATCATCAGCATCATCATCAGCCCCAGAAGCATCAACAACAGCAGCAGCAGCAACGAATCATCATCATCATTATCATGTCATCATTCTCAGCATCATCAGTAGCCATATCATCATCAGCAGCAGCATCATCAAAACCATATGCATCAGCATCAACAGCATCACCATGAGCATCATCGTCATCAACCTCCACATCATCATCAGCAGCATCATTAGCATCATCGTCATCGTCATCATCATCAGGACCACAATCATCAGCAGCATCATCATCATGACCACCATCATCGTCATCATCATCATCAGCATCTTCATCGTCATCATCATCACCAGCAGCAGCAACACCATCATCACCCCCACCACCATCATCATCACCAAATCGTCGTCATTGTCATCATCATCGTCACCAGCAGAATCGTCAGCATCATCATCAGCAACAGCTACAAAATCATCATCACAATCAGACATCAGCATCAACATCAATATAAGCATCATCACCGTCATCGTCATCATCACCACCATCATCATACGCCGGTTCAGCCAGCCGAAATCCACTCAACATCGGTACCGGGACACTTCCCGGGGTCCATCCTGATCCGCTTTTCGTGTGGTGGCGACGAAAAGCCTCCAGGAGGCCTAAAAACAAACAAAAGCACGGCCGCTGTATCGACGGGCACTCCAACGAACGTCCTGTTATTCCTCCTCCTACGACTGCGGGCAGCCTTATTGTCTGGACCACGCACAGGACGAGAATGATTTCGTGATATTTATGCGGTTGGCGCAGGACACGTTCCAGGCATGCCGCGGTATCCCGAAGGCCCAATATGGTATTATTCACGATAACGCCCTTCACCGGTCCTGCCCCCCCTCTCCTCCCGCACCCCTGGTGACGTCGCGAATCGTGACGTGACCAGCCCCCTCACTCCCTCCCTCCCTCCCTCCCTCCTCCCCCTCGCTCACGCCCGCTATCGCCAGGAGATACAAGAACTGTCTCGAGCAGCCCTCATCTCTGAAGCCCGTGAGGAACAGTGGCACGTCTTGGAAGCACTGGAAGTCTTGGGCGAAAATAGGCGAAGAAGAGAGGGAGGAGGCGGAAGAAGAAGGCGAGAAGAGGAGAAGGCGGAGGCTGAGGAGGAGAAGAAGAGAATGAATACGAGGACAAGGGCGAGGAGGTCGAGGAGCAGGAACAGGAGCAGATGGATGATGTAAATGGCGATACTGCTGCTGATGAACAGGTGGATCGTGTTGAGGATTCGGCCTCCTGCTCCCCTGATCTTGATACGGGGGAAAACGATTGTGGGTAACGGGTCCTGGACCCTGGGGCCTCCCCCCAGGACGAATTCTTCATCCTGAATCGTTGTTTGACGCTCCCACGGCCCGCGGAGGGTCCAAGGAAACCAAAAACGGCGAAACACCTCAGGACCCGATTCCCCCACGGCGACCTGCTGCTCTGAACGCACACCCCCGCAGCGCGTGGCCAGTCGAGCAGCTGCAGGGCAACCCAGCGACCAGCGCGCAGGGGAGAAGAGGAGGGGAGGGCTCGAGCTGAACGGCGTTTGTCGTTTTCGTGTCGTGTTCGGTGTCGTCCATTCTGTCTTCGCTCTTGCGGAATCGCCCGAACACCGTTTTAGCTCGAGCCCTGGAGGAGGGGGGGAGGGGCGAGGAAGGGCAAGGGGCGAAGGAGGTGGCGGGAGCGAGGTGGGGGCGGAGCGGGAGCAGCAGGGAGAAGGGAGGGATGAAGGAGGGGGCAGGGCGGGGCAGGAAGGGGGGGGGAGGGAGGAGGGGGGGTCCCGACGAGGCCAATCGCCTGCCCAAGAGAAGGAGGGGGGGGAACGAGGCGGGGGCAGGCAGGAGGGGGGAGACGAGGAGGCTGAAAAGCATGCGGAGGAGGAGGAGGAGGAGGGGGCGGAGGAGGAGGAGGAGGAGGAGGAGGAGGAGGAGGATTGAGAATGGAGAAGCCAAGAGCACAAGGCTGCGGGTTCGGTGAACAAGAAGCGTTGCACCTGCTTATAAAGGAGCGCTGATCGAAGGAGGGGGGGCAGCATAGGGCAAGAGGAAAGGAACGGGAGGAGGACAAGGGCACCGACGAGGGAGGAGGTATAGGGAGAACATATGGGAGCGGCAGAGCAGAAAAACAAGCATGCAAAGTGGAAGGACCAGGAGCAGGGAGCACGAGGAGGATCGGCAGCAGAAGGGGATGGGGAATGGACAGGAGATGGTGGAGGAGTGGGAGAGGGAGAGAGGGGCGAGGAGGAGGGCGGCAGGAATTAAGGAGAAACGAGGACGCAGGAGAAGCAGCGGCAACAGCGGCGGCAAAACCGACCTCAAATTTGCTTCGCGCGCGGCACACGGCAAGCAACGCCACCCGCTGGAGCTCCGCGCCGGGCTGACGGAGCAGAGTGCAGTGCAGAGTGCAGTGCTGCAGCGCAGAAGGACAGGAGAAAGGAGGAGGGACGAGGCGAGGAGGACGAGAAAGAGGAGGACGCGGAAAAATGTTGAGGGAGGGAGTGATGAGAGAAGAGGGGGAGAAGAGGTAGGAACCAGGATGGTGTGAAAGAGAAGGAGGGATGAGGATCTGGAGGGAAGAGGAATCGAGCGAGGGCGGACGATGAAGGGAGGAGGCGCGTAATCCCACCAGTCCTCTGGTCGCAGGTAGTTCAGGGCGACCATCAAACCCCATTATTCTCCTTCGGGAAAGGATTCCCCCCTTCGCCTTCCCAATCCCATGGGACTCCATAAGGGATTCGCGACAGGGTAGCCAGATGACCTCAGATTTCCGAAGATGGCTCCCGATTCAGCACCAGATGGCCCAGAATGGCTCAGATTGCTGATGCTTCTCAGATGCCCCAAGAGCGCCAAAAGACGGCTCCAAGTGGACATGGAGCCTTCCAAGGATGCTTCCGAGACCCCCAAGCCCTTGAAAACCCCAAAGACGGTCACTGATGTTCGCCTGCTCGCTACTTCATTTACAAATAATGTATGAGGCCTCAAGATGGTTCTAGTACCATCAAAGAAAGCCCCCCAAAAGGGCCAAGGAGGGCGCCAATGCGGCCACAAAGGAACTGAAGAGCGACTCCAGAGCGCCCAAAGAGGGCCTCAAGAGGCGAGTTGCCAGGATTCGACGGGGAAGGAATCTGGGTAATATACGCCGCCTTCTTTTTTAGCGATGTCTCTGGAGGCTTCTTCGCGGGCGCTTGTCGTCCGTTGGTCCCCGCTCCTCCTCCTCCTCCTGCTGGGTCGTCCTCCTGTCCCCGCTCCCCCTTCGAAACTCCTCCTGCGTGTGGTCCTCCTGTCCCCGCTCCTTCTCCTTCCTCTCCTCCTCCTTCACTTTTCCTGATACATACCTCCACCCTGACAGACCCCCGAACGTGTCGGCAAGGCGGGCCGGGCGTTTCGACTGAGACTGCCTCCCCACTGATGATCCTGAAACTTGAGATTTGCATCAGTTTCACAAGTGGAGGGCGGGTCGTTTTCAAATGTAGCTCTCGCCTTGCCACAGCCTCACGGATTGAGCGTGGGTCCTTTCAAACATGTGTTTCACCGTAGCGCCGCGAACATTGAAAGTTTGCAACAGCGTTCAGAATGCGGGGAAGGTACTTTTCAAACGTGGCTCTCGCCTTAGTGCCGCGCCTATTCTCAAGCATGAAGGGCGGGTCGTTTTCGAAATGTGGCTCGCGCTTTAGCGCCGCGAACGTTCGTTGTGTGAAAATCTGCAACAGTGGAAGGCGGTTTCTGTTCAAAACGCGTGCTCGCCTTAGCGCCGCGCACGCTCGTGTTAAAGTGTGTAACATGTTCAAAGGCTTCGCGTGGTTAAAGGTCCAGGAAACGCTAAGGCGTTCTGGCACGATTGAGGATTGTCAGGACGCAACAATCACATTGAGTA